AATGATATAGATACTTAGGTATAATGATTCTGTAGCATTTTAAATATGTTTTATCCAACGATGCTTGCAATAAAAGTGAGTATATGTAACTAACACTGTAAAAAACTGTTTTATTGTTATGTGCAAGTTGGAACCCGATACTCTATAAGGCTATAGATTACTTTAAAAGTTGGTATTTTATTGGGTAAATGGGCAATTAATCATTTAAGTGTACTATCAGTATTAATATTTTCGTCAAATTGTATTACAGGGTTATTGTATACATTGTTCTTTTCTTTACTATAAATGATACGTATATAGTTAGTTAATGATGAATTTATGATATATTCACAGGTGCCTCGTGCCCTCATGCCTGTATTATATAATAATAATTAATAGAGTACGATAATGTTATGAATTATTCAGAACTTATTTTCAAACCATCCGTTATAAGTAGCCACTAAGCACACTTCTCACTAGGTATTATGTATTCAGTTATTGGATTTTGGTATAAGTAAATGTTGTTTAGATCACGTACGAAATCTGGAAATCGTTCGTATAAACAGTCGTATTAATATGCACAGCTTAACTACGGTATTGACAATCTGTCACATTATCATTTATAAGTAGGTGCTATAATGCTAATAAATAGACAGACAGTAGTCAAGTAAATTGGCATAATACCATTTTGTTTTGTTTTGTTGATTGTTATTACTTCGTAAGATCTACGAATATTGAATATCAACATTTAATTGTAACACACTCAAGATTTACAAAAGAGGGAATTACAAAACAATAGACATAACTATTATATGAATACTAAATAGATCTCTTAGCACCGATATGGTGGTCATTCATATACCGTCGAGTAACTGAGACGCGTCTTTGTATAATATAATATGTTTTAAAAATATAAGTTATCTGTCATATATATTCACATATACTCCAAAGTCCGAGCTGGCCGGATCTTAAATATTTTACTCGGTTTCATTTAATCTCAAACATAACATTTTAATTATACTGCATATGCATATTTGATGCGCATGCACATTGTAATTTAACATGTTCTATTGTTCTATACTAGAATACAACCACTTTGGTAAATACCTACACACATATTGTGTATTTTAATAATTTCATTAATTCATTTAACTATTTAGGTACCAACCTATACTACTTTACATGCGCGCATCTACCCACATTTTCCGGGACCTTCCTCTCTCGCGTGCAACAGTACACATTGCATGGTAACACGCATTTTTACATATCATTTAATAATATTATAATACCTAATCGTTTTCGTATACGAAATCTCTCCAAAATAAAATTCCTTTTGCCTACCTATGTATCATTATAAAGTTATTATCTTTCAAAATAACATTTATTATGTGTTGACCATCGTCACACCTTGTCGTCCATCGACTTAGACGTACCTATAGTCCATACCACCCATGACCCATTCAAAGCACTTCCTGTTTCTATCTTACTATGGCGCTGGTATAGGCCATCGCGTTGGGACATTTCTACAGAACACACAATATACACGCTGGTATACTTACTTATACATAATATGTCATATGTATTATATCTTTATGTATATAATTATACAAAATAATTTATGTATTAGGCATATAAAATTATATTGTGCAGGTGGTGCGCGGTGCAACAACAAAATCGGGTTCTCCGCAAATCTTTATAGAACTTTCCCTTCGTACGAACATTTTTTTTATTTCTATCGCAAGTTATACCTCCTAATTTATTCCATATAGCTATTTAGAGCTGCACGATGTCATATCGTCGCGAAAGTGTTTCTTTTACAAAACGAATACAGTATTACACCCTACCAAAATTGTACTAGCGTAGTTTTTATTACATATTTGTTTCCGTGCATGTGTGTGTAATTGATATTTGGCTCTTTTCCTTCTCGTAAAAATGAGGACTATTCTCTCTGTAGTCTGTACGTACCTAACCGTTCTAACCCATATTACATTTGTTTGTATACTTATAAATTATAATAGGGTATTTATTTGAACATGTTTTATATAGTCAGTTGTCGGCGTGCGATAATATCGACACCGTCGTCATCACTGCCTCACACGAACGCCACCTCCGCACATGGTATTCAAATTATTGACTTGCGCTCGCGCGCACACCCACCCACCCACACACTGACACACACATAGTATATATATACGAAATATATATATAAATATACACAGGATCATTTTAGCGTCCGGTGAGGGTTATGCGCACCCAAGCGACCATGACGGTATACGGTACACGAGCCGCGCAATTCCATTACGAGACATTCGTAGACGGTAGACCCCGATTCTAACGACGACGACGACGACGACTTAAACGCATACACACATCCGGAGAGAGACTTAACACAATGACAATAACGATAGAGAAATAAAAATAATAATTATTATTATTCTTGCCCCGTTCTTTACCGCGTTTTGATTTCAAAACAGTCGACGACGGGTTTTTTAATAGCGTCGTTTTTAAACCGACCGATAAGCCATTGGCGTGTATCTGCAGCACGGAACAAAACGTAAAAAAATAAACACCCAAATGCAACACGGTGTTGTTCACCCACACTCACACACACACGCACACTCGTAAAATATACGCACACCACTCTATGTATTACATATTATAATATAATAATAGGTACCTTCTATATATATATATATACATATACACGACAATACCATTACGAATTCATCATCGACTATTCAACTGTTCGGCGGTAAAGTGTATTATGTATATTATAATAGGTATACGTATATGAAACACTCGCATTGTGCGTAGAGTGAAAAAAAAATTACTACGGCACAATAATATTATATATAATATATATGATATACCTATATACTTATGTATACATACGTCTAAAAACTTTGTTGTATATTTTCGCGGTGGGCGTATTGTGTGAGTGTGTATGTTGTGCGTAATATTGGCCAACTCTCGTCGTTACATATATTATACATGTATAAATTATTATTATTATAAATATAGTAGGCATGCTTTTTATTATTATTCGTTTTAAATATGCGCGCGCGAGAGTTTCTCCCGTGGCCCTAACCTGTACGAAGTGCGTGGGCTGTATAACCTGAATGGCGAGCCCACTACACGTAGGTATACAGTGTACACAGTATATAATATACACACACATACACACATCCTTGGTTCGTATAACACAAAAAACCTTCGTTCAAGTTTTTTTTTTTCATCATCATCATCTCCAGCTCTGTCTCTTGTAGAGCGCCGCACAATCGCGCCTCCGCTTAACGGTATACCTATGTATATACGTGCGCCGCGTCTGTCACTCGTCTGATGGAGGCGCGTCGTGTTTTTTCGAAGCTATATATTCCTATACGTATACAATACATTATATATGTATATGAAATACGCACATCCACAGACAGTCTAATATACTATAATATATAGGATAATTAATTGAGTAAGGCGGCTGCATCCCGCTACTGTGTGGTCGACCGATGCTGCAGTTTCTGCGATTGACGTGCATGTCTTTATATACTATTATTATTAATATCTATCATGTATATGTATGTTATCATATATACAATATATTTATAGGTAAGTAAATAGTAGACCCAATACATACTGTTATATTATTATACACTAGAATTTTTATACAGCTGATGTTTGTCGATAAGATAACGGTGTTTCTATATTATTATAATTATTTATGTATTATTTTACTTGAACAATATACATATTCTACGCTACTATACTAGTATACCTTACTTACAAGTTATAACTAGACGAATTTTTGAAAAAAAAGGGCAGCGAGTTTGGGTATACATTATAATATTGTTTTGATATTTTGTGACTATATTATATAGGTAGTATGAATGATTGAACGAAGTATGGTATTCTATAAATAATAAACAAAATCAAAAATAGGTACAGCCTGGAAAATACATTTTGGACACGACTATTAATAATAGACACCCATTACCCATAGCAATTGCTGCGTGTAACTATCTAAAGATTTATTATCTCTATTAGAGTTAATAATGATGAAAAAGAACACTTAAATAGTTAAATATATTATGCGACTCAGTATAGTCACAACGGACTCTCGTCTAAATGTCGCATGGACCGGGTGGGTTGTAACTTGGAGGAGAAACTCGCGGAGGTTCGTCCTACGGACTGTAAAGCGAAAACGTGAAGGCGTGTGATTTATTTGACATGCGTTCAGCAAACATTTTATTACAGCCGAGTATAACTGCACGGGTAGACGAGGTATTCTGTAATGTATGTAGTATAAAATTTAAATTGTAGATAGGTGTATTATAAAAGTAAACCTACGTGATGATAAAAAACTTATCTTATGTGGAAATCGAAATTGATCGATGCGCCACGTTATTTATTTAATCGTATTTGTCTAAATGTCTAAGACAAATTTTTATAGCCGACTATATTTAATTATATTATTGTACACAAAACTGAAGTGTAAATATAATATATTATAAAAACTAAGTTCAATCAAGTTAAAATCAAGTTGAAAATCATCATCCTCGATTACCGGAGCTCAAAAAAAAAATAAAAAAATGCGAAAACGTATAAACATTATTTGCATATTAATATATTACATGTGAATGATGAAAATCATAATAATATGATAAAATTACATTATCTTAATATCTTATCGATTGTTCCATAAGTGATTCCACGCCGTGTGCTCTCTAATCTCCATAAAAACCGCTAACAATCACTCGGTACCTTCAACTTATTACTCTCAATTACCATATTATGCACACGTTCCACATTTTCGTTATTTTTATGATCTACCGTTCAAATCTTTTTATTATGAAGTATGAAAAATATTCGTTTTTGAGGTCGGAAGCGTTTATGCGACGACTACAGCTATACTTTTGTGTATATTCTGGTTATTAGTTATTACTATAGGTATTAGGTATTATTATTGTATTTTTTCATTAATATTGTATAAATGTAGGTGTACAATAAGTGCATAATTTGGTACTTACGTGATTATCGGAGATCACGTGAACCGTACGGGCAAATCGTAATAAGCTTTCGGCGTAACGGCGACAAGAATAGTAGAACCCATTTCGCGTGATTGTACACAGTTTTATCAATCGGTAGGCAGTAATTGTTATTTTTAAATTGAATCACAGCGTGCGCGCGATGTTTTTTTAATCCGAAGTAGAAATAATATTTATCCACCGTGAGGGTAGAGGCTCCTCAATACCGCACGCGACCAACGACCGTACAGAACTGACTGCGGCCGCCGTTTTTTAGCACACACGCGGTGGAGGCGCGCACCGGATAAAAAACATATATACGTTTATATGGGTATACACCGGGTGGGGCCTCTTCTCACCGCCACCGCGACGGACCGGTCAACCTACGGGGACAAACGAGGCTATATCGAGCCCCGCACATTGTATGGATAATGAACGAGATATATACAACCACACACACACACACGATATATAATAAACTGTATTTTACGTTTTTATATATATGTAGGTACAGTATACGTGTGTGCAGAACACTATACACGTTCACTCCTGCAGCAGCAGACATCGAATTCAATAAATAATTCATTTTTCGAATATTTCGCCGTCGTCGATGGTATATGAGGTTTTTTTGCACTGTTCAAGTGACCGACCTCCCCGAGCGAAATCTACCATCTACGGGTCCCATTAATGATTCATTATAAATTAATGGTAACTAAAGGAAACCGTCGGAATGTTTACGAACGTTATAAACTACTATATTACTATTCACATTCAACATACACCTACATTAATATTAGCCGTATAATAATAATAATGACAATAATAATCTTTATTTTGAAAAGAAACTGCATTTACATATCATGACATTTGGCATAGGTACGGCACAACTATGAATACACCCAATTTTAAATTATGCAAATACTTTAGATTTTTATTTTCTATGGATATTTAAACATAATCTAAAGATTTAACTTATTGACACTGTCAAAATTGAAGAAAAAAATCAGTATTACCCAGTGGTACCTATACACTCTGCTAACATTGAAACATTTACAGGAGAAGACAACAGTCTAGTAGTATTTTAAATTCTGAGCAATGACAATTTTATCATGTACAGTAAATGATAAAATAAACATTATCTGAAAATGTCAAGTATCTACGGTTATTTGTTTTTGAATTACGACAAAATAAGAAAATCTTTCGATGAGAATTCATTAATTTACGACTGAAAAGTGAAAAGAGGTACTTAAAAGGATTTAGCTAATCTTAGTAAAAACAAATCGTTTACCTAGTATATTATATCGTAATTTATTCATTAAAATTGTGCATATTTTGTAATTTGTAATTTTTGGATGTTTTAGATTTCTATTTACATTCACTCGTAATTTATTGATTTCTCATCAATCGATTTTTGATATATTTTTGTTGAAAATTCGATATTAGATACTAATCATAGATATTTGAAATTAAAATTTATATTAGAGTTGTCTATGCATGATTACATTTAAGTTTTTTTTTTTTATAAGACTATAAATGTAGATAAATAATTTTTGTAGAATCAAAAAGCTTGAATATTCAATAAAAGGTTCATTATAAAAGGTTATAATAGTAGTTGAAAAATATTAGGTAAACAAAATTGAAAATATGCACGTTTTTATTCATAAAAATTTGAATTTAAAATTTTGACAAGATTCATCAAAATCAAGAATATTTATCAACTATTTTGTCATTAAAAATGTATTAGACATTCAATTTGTATAGCTAAGATTGAAAATTGAGAACAAGATTTCTCATAAGTAAGTAGTTCTGCAAGTTCATACTTCATACTCATACTGATACCAAACTCTAAACAAATATATAAACACATTTTTTTTTTATATAGATATTTCAAATTAGGCATAGTTCAAATAGTTCAAATGTGTACGAAATTAGATTTTTAAACAAAGATAACAATTAACAATATAAGTTATTTTGTTGTTGGTGATTCGAGGGTACCTACTTAAAACTTTTAAAGTATATTAATATATTTTATACATACAATAACATTTTCAAGTTCTATGTTTTCGGCCAAAACTAATTTAACCTTTACTGTATTACTAATAGTGTTAAATAAACTACTTTAATAACAATATCATAAAATATACTTGGTAATATAGACTGAGAATTTCAGTCAGAATCAATGCATTTAATTAAAACATCCATTACTGTGACACACTCGACACCTAATTGTGCAGCAGAAAGGTACCCTCTTGCCCTTCCATTTGTTTGTTGTTTTTCCCAATAAAAATCTACTGACAAATTTCGAAGTACAAAATATTTTATATCCAATTTGTGATCAGAAACCTCCCTAAACGATGATGACCTGAGTATTTTTTCTATTAGAGAGTGTCTTTAGATTGAAATAAATCCCATTTCGTAATTTAAAATACATCGCACTGCTCAGAATATAATACTACTTAGTGATGCACAATGATGTCGTATTTCGATATCGATATCGATATAAAACCAATTTTACCGATATCGTTATGACAAAAATAATATTCGATATCGAAATACGACATCGCAGGTAAATATCCAACATTTTATCGATATCGAAAATTGATAAATAGAATATTGAATAATATATTTTAGCTAAATACTTAATAATTTTAAATGTATGCATATTTTCAGGAAGCGATTATACAACACTCCGAGGTACCTACAGTAGATGAAAAATATATAATATACCTGTAATTTTAATTCAATTTAAATTTTTAAATTTTTGTTTATAATAATATAATATGAAAACTTTTTTATACTTTTTATTTAAGTACACTTTTTTAATGTAAGAAATATTAATTTCCAAAAAAAAAACCGTCAATAAATTTTGTATTTAGTGTTGTATTGAGTAATGAATATTTTTTTTTACTTTTTTAGTCTATAAATTATTATAAATTAATAAATTATACCGATAAATCGTTTGTCGATATCGATATCGTTTGTTTTTCAATATCGCGATATGATATCGATATCAATGAACCGATATCGATAAAGGAAAATACATCGTTGTGCATCACTAATACTAACAATGCCTTATCCATTCCTTTATACCAGTGTTTCCCAACCTTATTACCACAATGGACCACTTCGACAATATTTTATAGGTTGCGGACCACCTCAGTTTTTCGCTATTTAAAAAAAAATAATAAAAAATCTATGGTACCCTGGACCACCGGTATAAAACTCTACTAACGGGTATAGTCGAATTGCACTTATTTTAGTCGAATTGCACTTGGGTTTAAAAAAGGTAATGGTCGAATTGCACTCGGGTAAAAAACAGATAGTGGTCGAAACTGCACTTGGGCTCAAAAAAATATTTTAATAAAATTATCATGCATTTGAAGGGCTTTTTTCTTTGCTGAATTTGAAATCATTCTCCGAGGTAAATTAAGTGGTTCTTCATGAATATGTATCAATTCAGACCGAATAATTACTTTAGAAAATTCATCTAGATATAGACGATATAGTTTTGAAAGACAACCACGATAGGCACCACGCCATTTAACACCATCATTAACATATTTTTTCTTTCTAAAATGTATAATTTTGATACACGATTAAGTCACGGCCTCGTTCACTTTTAATAATTTTTAAACTGTTCATATTTACACATCGACGTAAAAGTGTGTAATAATTGTATTTTGCATAGGTCTACATAGACACATAGTACACGCCATACGGTATACAATAAAAGTATTAATCTTATATGCGTTATCTAAATGGCACGAACTAATATATAATGCTATTAAATAAGTACACCGTAGCGTTTTTTTTGATTCACGATATATTTAACGGGTTTTCCATTTTAATTTTTTTTTTTTTGAACGAGTGCAGTTCGACCACTACCTGCTTTTTACCTGAGTGCAGTTCGACCATTACCTTTTTTCAATCCAAGTGCAATTCGACCATTCATTTGTAGGTAATAAGTGCAATTCGACTATCCCGCTACTAACTGATCCCGTGCACTTCGTTGACCGTTAAAAATGCCAACTCTACATGAGACTTACTTATGAGAATGTGAGCAGTATATTATCAGGTAGGCAATCCACCTACGATGGATTGAGGACCCCATTAGGTGCACACTCCATGTGAATGTTTTATTTTTATTTTTTAATTTATTTTGATTGTGTACTCGCCAATGACCGGCTATAAGTGCTATTCAACCACCTTTGTAGGCAATATGCGAGAATTTTGGTTTGATCATTGATGCATGCTTAAACCTGATCGGCAGCACGATTAACCAATGGCAACCAAAAAATAAAAATAAATTCTATAAGTTTTACTAAAAATGTAAGAAAATAATAAGCGTGATGCTTGGACCAAGGGAAATGGGATTCATTTACATATATGTAGATTGTACAATTTTACTTCTCGCCTTCTCGGAACAATTCATATCTACACACCGATCCAATACATAACTAGACGGACAAAAAGATACGGTTGCATGTAGCTATGGAAACCCACAAGCCACCGTGCTTTGAAATATGTTTATAGATGTACAATTAACAAGTAAAACAATGTATTTTTGCCGATTTCAACCCTTTTAATACGAAATTTTGATAAATCATTTATCTAATCTAACGGTGAAATTATAATATTAATCTATACTCAACATTTCAAGTGGATAACAATAATAAGTTCGGCTCTGCGTTGATTATGACAGGATAACAAAGACGCTAATCCACAAGCTGCTATCAGCACAAGAGTGTATATAAGAGGGACCTTTACTTTAGAATATTACTATAACATCTTAAATAACCTTGAATAATGTAACAGCTATATCAAAATAAAGATAATTTTATAAAATTAATTGATAATAAAAAAATCTTTATTCATAAGTTTAAGACTTAAATATATTTTTGAGAGAACTTATAAATAAAGCTCTTAATAAACAATACTAAAAAAAAACAAATTCTGATACATCATTAAAAAAAATATATATATATAGTAAATATATTACGTATATATTATGCCTAAATAACATTTGGATCTATACCTATTTTAGATTAAGAAAAATTAAATAAAATACAAACAATAGTTGTTTAGAAGGCAGTTCTTAAACAATTTTTTTACTTAAGTTATCAGTATCTCGATTTGAAAAACTTGAGAAATTATGATCATCATATAAATAACTCAAAATGCTTAACAATTAAAGACGTATAGACTTTAAATATTGTTCTTATTAACAAAATGGATTACAATAATACTCAGATATAAAGACATTTTAAACATTT